AAGTCTGGGTATGAGGAGGAGAGGGGAGGAGAAGAGGAAGAAGGAGGAGTAGGAGGCGCCCAAATAAGAACAAGAACCCCATCTCAGGATATGGGGAACAACAAGAACCCCATCTTAGGACATGGGGAATCAGACAATGAAAAGGTCTGAGTACGAGCAGGTCTGAATATGGGTAAGTCTGGGAACAAGTCTGAGTCAGTCTGGGCATGAGTGAGTCTCAGCATGACTAACTCTGAGTAGGAGTAGGTCTGAGTATGAGTAGGTCTGAGTATGAGTGAGCTTGTGTCTGAGTACGTCTGGGTATGAGCAACTCTGGGTGTGAGCAAGTCTGGGCATGAGGAGGAGAGGGGAGGAGAAGAGGGAGAAGGAGGAGTAGGAGGCGCCCAAGTAATAACAAGAACCCCATCTCAGGATATGGGGAATAACAAGAACCCCATCTTAGGACATGGGGAATCAGACAGTGAAAAGGTCTGAGTACGAGCAGGTCTGAGTATGGGTAAGTCTGGGAACAAGTCTGGGATGTTTGGGCAGCCGCGCCTCGCCGAGCGCGTTCCGTGGAGCCCGGGTCGTCCCGAGCGGCCGTCGGAGGCCAGATCGCAGAACCCCCTGCGCCGCCAACAGAAATTGAAGGGGCCCCAGCACACACAAATAAGCACACACAAATAAACAGATTCCCCATATTTTCCCATATCTTGTAGGTTCTTGTCTTCCACCCCACTTCCCATATTTTCTCATATTTTCTGGGCAGTCGGCGATCAATTGTGTCTGTGTGCTTCTTTCCCTCCTGAGAACTCACGACTTGAAGGCCGCGGCAACTTCAGGATCCAGAGGTCCTCACCCAGACCCCAGGAGGGCCCAGAAACAGCCCAGGATGAGGAGACGGTCCTTGAGAGGACGTGCGATCCCGGTCCCGGGATGGGTCTGGCCAAGATGGGTGTGTCTGTGTGTGCATTGCCCTTGACGCCCAACATCGAGGAGGCTCTGGGTCAGAAAACCCAGAGTGGCGGCATCAGCAATTATATCCGGGACAGAAGAATCGTTCCTGCGAGTGTGTCGAAAGCTCCTGGGCCAACGTGTGTACATCTATATGTAGATACACAAACATACGCATGTGAATGGTAGCCCACTCCCCAGGAACCCCATCTTGACAAATGCAAGCCCGAAGACATCCGCACTATCAAAAACAATATGACAGCATATGGTGGCACGAACCAAGAAACACATCACATGGAAAGTACATGGAGCCCATACACTTGAAATCAACACGAACTCCGTAGACTGGAACGCAGCAATATACCAATACAAGAAACAACAATGGAGAAGCCATGCAAATAGAACGACATCCAAGTGAAAGGCAAGACGAACTCTACACACACACTTGAAAACAACACATACAAACAACAACACACATAAAATGCTACACGAACAAGTCAAGTGTCAACCCAAAGCAAGTAGAAGTGATATTAGGTCCGCGATCCCTGTGAAGCATTCAAAAAGCAATCAACACGAGACGACAACACACACAACAATCCCTACGGCAACTCAAACACGTAAACACATCACAAGTTTTCGGGCTGCTTGATTGGATAGGAGGGGGGAGGAGAAGAGTACCGCTCTTAAACAAGAACAGGAATCCCGACCATGGAAGACAGTTAGACTCCCACATAAATAAAACCATAACATAAACCCTACACTTCCAAACAAGAGCAACTATACACACCAAGACACAGCATACACAAAAACAGTAAGAACTGCTCACGCGTAAAACAATCAGAACACGACTTAGTTCCACAGTCCGTGCGAGAACTACGACAAACATACACAACATAATAACATGCATTGACTCCTGTGAGGGTTCAAACACAACATCAAGGGAATTAACTGTTGTTTGGGGGCGTGAGCTACATGGCTGATGGTCAGCACCACGGGACTGCCCAAGCAGTCGAAGAAAGTGCGCCAAGGTGGTTGAGCTGGCTAGTTTACGGGCGCAGCCCGTAATTTGATTCTCGCGAGGTAGACACTGACAGACTGAACTGAACCACCAGGCCGTTAGATGGCAGTTTTATTTCCGCGGGTGAGGATATTTCGGGTGGCAGTTTTAAGCCAGCTGGTGAGCATATTTCGGTGGCAGTTTTAAGCCAGCGGGTGAGGATATTTCGGTGGCAGTTTTAAGCGCCAGCGGGTGAGGATGTTTCGGTGGCAGTTTTAAGCCAGCGGGTGAGGATATCTCGGGTGAGGATATTTCGGTGGCAGTTTTACGCCAGCGGGTGAGGATATTTCGGGTGGCAGGTTTAAGCCAGCGGGTGAGGATATCTCGCGTGGCAGTTTTAAGCCAGCGGGTGAAGATATTTCGGATGAGGATATTTCGGGTGGCTGTTTTAAGCCAGCGGGTGAGGATATTTCGGGTGGCAGGTTTAAGCCAGCGGGTGAGGATATCTCGGGTGGCAGTTTTAAGCCAGCGGGTGAGGATATCTCGGGTGGCAGTTTTAAGCCAGCGGGTGAGAATATTTGGGTGGCAGTTTTAAGCCAGCGGGTGGGGATAATTCGGGTGGCAGTTTTAAGCCACTGCATATTTCGGTGGCAGTTTTAAGCCAGCGGGTGAGTTATTTCGGTGGCAGTTTTAAGCGCCAGCGGGTGAGGATGTTTCGGTGGCAGTTTTAAGCCAGCGGGTGAGGATATCTCGGGTGAGGATATTTCGGTGGCAGTTTTACGCCAGCGGGTGAGGATATTTCGGGTGGCAGGTTTAAGCCAGCGGGTGAGGATATCTCGCGTGGCAGTTTTAAGCCAGCGGGTGAAGATATTTCGGATGAGGATATTTCGGGTGGCTGTTTTAATCCAGCGGGTGAGGATATTTCGGGTGGCAGGTTTAAGCCAGCGGGTGAGGATATCTCGGGTGGCAGTTTTAAGCCAGCGGGTGAGGATATCTCGGGTGGCAGTTTTAAGCCAGCGGGTGAGAATATTTGGGTGGCAGTTTTAAGCCAGCGGGTGGGGATATTTCGGGTGGCAGTTTTAAGCCAGCTGGTGAGCATATTTCGGTGGCAGTTTTAAGCCAGCGGGTGAGGATATTTCGGTGGCAGTTTTAAGCGCCAGCGGGTGAGGATGTTTCGGTGGCAGTTTTAAGCCAGCGGGTGAGGATATCTCGGGTGAGGATATTTCGGTGGCAGTTTTACGCCAGCGGGTGAGGATATTTCGGGTGGCAGGTTTAAGCCAGCGGGTGAGGATATCTCGCGTGGCAGTTTTAAGCCAACGGGTGAAGATATTTCGGATGAGGATATTTCGGGTGGCAGTTTTAATCCAGCGGGTGAGGATATTTCGGGTGGCAGGTTTAAGCAAGCGGGTGAGGATATCTCGGGCGGACGAGGCAAGAGGCGGCGGGAGGAGGATTTCATTGAAAATGGACGACGGGGGGGGGGAGATCAGCTCGAGGGCGGAGGACGCGGACGGGATGAGGAGGCGGCAGAAGGGAGGAGGAGGTGGAAGTGGAGGAGTCGAAGGAGGAGGAGGAGGAGGTGGAAGAGGAGGAGGAGGAGGAAGAGGAGGGAGGAACCGAGAAGAGCTCTGTGCTCGGCGCGGGCATCCAGCCGCCACGCGATGCATCATCTGTATGGTCGGCCCAGCCGACGGCTACGCCTCCAGCGAGGTGCTGCGCCCGTATATATGCTCGCCCCTTGGCGTGGGGCTGGCGGGGGGCCAAGGGGCGAGCTGTCCGGTGATTATGTAATGCAGCCCAAGAGGGGAAGAGAGAGGAGAAGAGAGAGAACGGGAGAGGATGCGAAGGCGGCGGGCTGGAGGGAACCGGGGCGAGCACCAGGTCGCACGGAGAGAGGTAAAACGGAGAGAGGAACGAAGGCAGCCAGGACTGGGCTGCCATGTCTGCGTCGTGTCTGCGCCCATGCGCATACCTGGCGCGGGTGCTGCGCAAGCGTGGCGCGGTCGCACTTTCCGCCCGCAACCAAAACCAAACTATAGCGAAACGCAAGGGCACGATCGATTCGATCGACCGTGGAGAGCCTCGCCCTCTGAGACCGCCGGCATGCCGCCGTCCCCGCAGAGCGGTGGGAACGGGAACGGGGCCCGCCACGCCCTCTTCCGCCGCCGCGCTCCGGCATTATTCCTGCACGAGTGAGCGAGGGAGCGAGATCTGCACGCTCCCGGGCGGCTTGGGCTCTCTCGGGCCCCTGTCGGCGATCATCGGGAGCGGCCAAGAGGGGGGTGTCCAAGAGGGGGGGGTGCAAATCATGACCGGCGGCATGTGCGCGGCCCAGCGGGGGGGCCAGGGACGTAATGAAACAAGAAGAGGCGCCATGAAATCTGGGGAAATATCATGGCCCCCGCCATGATATCCCCCCCCCAGTCATCACCCCCCTCTTTCCGCCCCCGAGATCATGTGGGGCGCTTCGTGCCCCCCCCCCCCCCCTGGAGCAGCGGCGGCCAGGCTGGAGGGCCGAGCTGCCCACTGGGACGGAGCTCAGACTGCGAGGCGGCCAGGCAGCACGGCGCTCGCCCCTGCGCGGGCGGCATGGCGAGAGTGGATCCGCCGAGGGAGCCCCCCGCCGCGAAGCAGTCGGCCGCGGGGGGGCGCCGGGCATCCTGGGGGGCGGGGCGCGGGGAAAAAGATAGCCGAGGCGCCCGCGCTGCCCAACGGGTGCGCCGAAAGGCGCCAGGGAACCCTTCGCCGCCACGGGATCAGTCGTGGGGGCAGGGAGCATCGGATGAAGGAGGGAGGCGCGGGGCGATGCGTGCTACACACGAGGACTGAACACCATGGGATGGTTGGAAAAAGTTGGGCCATGACCTGGCCGCGGAGAGGAACACATGGGCAAAAGGCCTTGAGACCATCAGGCACCCCTGGTGGAGTGCCCAAGCCCCATGGCCTTGCAATCGACAAGCATATGTGCGCTTGAAGCGGCAGGCGGTCAGACAGCCATCTCGGCAAATACTAGCGCTGGCATGCATTCCAGCTCCCCTCCTCTCCCTCATCTTACCCCCCTCCTCCTCATCCCCATCACCCCGTAGTATAAAAGGCCAGAGACAGCTGCAAAGCAGGACATCACGGCACGTGATATCATGACAACTCATAGCGCCGCACAAGCAAATGCACAGATGTTGGTACCCGACAGACAACGTCGTCTCACCTGTGCCTGCAGTCCCAGATCAAGGATGGGGCGTGAAAGTCGTCGACCATCAGGCCCAGCTTACAATTTAGAAGTATCGACGTATCAGATTTCGCAGAGGGTTAGAACAGACAAGAAAAAATAACGAGGGGGCGCAAAGGTGCTGCCAAACCGATGTAGTTCCGCGGATGGCGCCGAATTCTAATTAACAAAGCTGACTGCACTGGAAGTCATCCAGACGACGCTTCCCCGTTCAGCCTAAGTGAGTGGAAGTCCTCCCCCATCAGCATGATGTCCTTCACCATGCCCGAGTCGTATATCCTCAACTCGCCTCTGTGGTCGAATTCGAAGAGACTCGGGTGGACGCCGTACTTCCTTCAGTGCGCCGAAGAGGCGCGGCGGCGGCTGCCGAGACTGCTGCCCCCGCCTGGCACGAAGAAGTGAAGGAACGTGCGACTGACTGTCGCCGCCAGCTGCGGGGACGAACCCTCCTTCGCCCTGCCACAATGGATCTCATTGTCCGCGGTCACCACACTGCACACGGACTCCACATCGAACGCATCGCTGCTCTCGGTGATGCCCCTGCAGATTTCCAGGGGGTCGCGCGGCGGCAGGCACACGAACGGCAGGCTGGCCTTGGCCTGGAGCTCGCCCAGATCTGCGACACCCTCCGTGCGGCACACGGGCTTCTCGCCGACCTGGCCGCACACCTGCCGCGCAGCCTCGGCGCCGCCCGACCGCGGCAGCACGTCGAGCGCGTGCAGCAACGCGCTGACCTGGGCCGCCTCCTCCGCGCCCCCCTGGGGGCGCGGCACGAACATCGCCGCCCCAGAGCGCAAGGGCGTCCTGCCCCCCGCCAGGGCCTCCAGGTGCTGAGCCTGCGTGCTGGCGGCGGACAGCTGCGGCGCGGAGGGCTGCAACGCCAAACTGCGGCGCGCGCCTCGCCCGGCTGCCTCTGCGCCGCGCCCCGCCGGTGCACGCGGGGCCTGCGGATGCCGCTGCCGCTCGCACTGCGCGCCAACCGGCGCGGGCACGTCCTGGGGGCGCGAGGCCGCGCGGGCGGCCGCCGAGCGGGCGCGGTGCGGCTGCTGCTGCAGCTGCGGCTGCACTTCGCACTCCTGCGGCGCACACTCCACCGAGCCGCGCCCGGAGCCGTTCCTGTTGCGTTCGGTGTGCCTCCAGCGCCGCAGCTGCCCCGGCGCGTGGGCGAACGTGCACACGTTGCCCTGACTGCACGTCCCAGTCTCCGCGAAGCTTCTGCAGCGCTGGGTGAACGAGAAGTCTGGGGCCTTGCGCAGAGCGTCTCTCCCATGCGCGAAGCCGCAGTGCTCCCCTCGGGTGCAGGTACCACTCTCGTAGAAGCTGCACAAGCGCGTCTTGTTCAAGAGCTGGGCCGTGAATGCGTCGTTGCCCTTGCGGCGGAGGCCCGTGCCCGGCATGCTGGATGCGGGCGAGCGGTGCGACTGCCAATACTGCGGCCCTGCAGGCAGTGGGCCTGGCCGTGTGCTCGAGCCAAGATGGCTACAGAATGGCTGTTGGGCTGCTAGTCTGGATCTGCACGGGAGGAGAAGAAAGCCAGACTTCAGAACAACAGTCCTCCACAGAATGGACATGAATACAAATGCCGCGCGCCCGAAAGCAATAGGGACACCATTGGTCCATTGGATACAACTCTATACAAACCGAGACACTTACCCACAATAAACATCACACTTGAAACCACAAGGAACATGCTACATATGAAAAGCAAACATCTTAGGTCCATGATCCATTTGAGACCCACAAGCAACATATTCAAAATACCCCACAACCAAGCGAGGGTTAAACAGAACATGCAACCACTTGCGTTCTGCAATGTTGTTCTCTTCCCTCCTGCACTGCCCCCGCCCAGATCCATGCACGCCGACCAGAAACCGTTGAACCTGTTGTGTGGTACTTATCCCTTACATGGGTGCCGGCCGATTCCTGATACTTCTGAACTGTATGTTTGATATTTGCAGGGAGCCTAAAACAGATCGTGAACCTAAAGAGGTGTTTTTTTCTTCTCTGAATTGTAAAGATAGTACAGTATGTTGTAGCTGCGTTTCTTTATGTTTCAAGTGTATGGTTGGCTTCTTCTGTTCAACTGTCATGGTTTCTTGGTTCAGATCGCGATTATCTTCTTCTCCTCCCGTTCAGATACAGCCAAGCAGATCGGATGCCATGTACGTTTAGGTGGTTCAAAATCCCCGTCAGGCATTTGTCCAATATTGTAAGGTTTCCTGGTTGTCTCAGGAAAATCGTGAACATAAGACGCGTTCATATTGATATTGGTATTAGACAAGAGTTGTGTTGTTTGTTTTTGGCGCGCAGCTTTTCTCGAGCGCGATAGATAACCGCACCCTTACCCATGCGGGGTGGCTTGGGTCGGGGGGAGCGACACGCCGCATCCAACTGCGGTTGCACAAGTGCAGAGGCGACGGCCCATGGAACATTACAGGACGCATTTTTTTTTCTGGGCATCCGCTGGCACCGAAAGCGTGCGAGTTTCAATCGGCAGAATGGCCGACCACGCATTAGTCGCTCGGGCTAGAATAGCTCATTCGGAGGTGCGCCCACGAAGGCGCACAATCAAGCGATGGATGCGTTCTGGGTGTCCTGGGCGGGCGCCGCTGCAATCCCGCGTTCGCCTCAAACGCCTGGGGCCCCGAACGCCAGACGCGGTCGCCAGGGACTGCTCCCTGGAAAACCCGCCTGGCGTCACCCCAGCTAGGTCAAGGTACGTGTCGGGGGGCACAGTCGCCGACGCGCGTTGATGGTGCCCCCGGGCACGTACCCGCACCTAGTCGAATTGGCGTTTGGTCGAAATCGCTCTCGGGCGCGCGCGCGGCCCCCGAGAGCGCCCCCGAACGCGGCCGCACCGGCCCCCAGGGGAGCGTGAGATTGCAACGACGCTCCTGCGGGCAGGCCCAAACGCAACGGAGTGGTGGTGCCCGTCCCCAAATGGGATCGGCACCACCACTCCAATGCTGTTCTAAACCCCGCGGACACCCCCGATGCCCCCAGACGTCCCTGACGCAAACCAGGGCACGTCGCTGCAATCAAACAGCCAGCCTTTCAGCGCGTCGTTGCGCCCTGACGCGCGGACGCTGAAACAGCGCGCGCGGGGCAGGCTGATCGGGCGCAGTGGCAAGCGCCCAATCCAGCGGGCGGCCCTTTTCATCCAGGCCGACCCAGGGTAAGAGTGTGTTGAGGACCAATGAGCTTCGCCAGTGTTCTTTTGTGTGTAATTGGAATTTAAATATCACTTGACTGTGTTATTTCAAGTGTTCTCCGCAACGATGATTATTATGGTTATATATACACATATACGACCGATGAATTGGATTGTGGTTTTCTTTTTCTCCCACCAATGTGATCCAATCAAGCGGCCCGGGAAACACAACCTATGATCCTTGGATGCATGAAGGCCCTCTCCGGGGTCACTCTCTGTTTTGGCGCGTTGATTTTCAATATTCGATGGAGGCGTCACAAGGATCGTTTACCTGAGACGTTCCCTGGTATGTTCGACAGAACTCTTTCTCGTGGTTCGAAGTGCGCAATTCCGCCATTTTGACTTCCGCAAGCAACTACGGGATCTTACTTGTCTGGGCTCGTCTGCCCGGTCCGCCGCCCTGCCGCCGCCATCGCCAACCCGTCGCCGCCGCCCGTCGTCGGGGCTCCTGTGTCGGGCCCGCCGCCCTGTTGCCGCCATTGCTGCCTCGACGCCGCCTCGGCGTCGCCCGTTGTCTCGGTTCGTCTGTCGGATTCGCCGCCGCGCTGCCGCCGTCGCCCCACTTCGCTGCCTCGACGCCGCAGCGTCGCCGCCAATCGACTGGGCCTGGGTGCCGGTCTGGTGGTTCCGTGGTCGCCGTCGCCGCCCCGTCGCCAGTCCAAAGAGAGAACCGCATCCCCATACCGGAAGGCAGCAAACCATTCTACAACCTTCCCGAGGCTGGTATTGCTGATTCTCCCCGTAACAACACAATGTATCCATGGTTGTGCCCCATGCCCAAGCTGGTATCGTCCCCCCTTTCCACCCCTGTCAAAATTATTCACTGCGTGGGGATCCCCATATGTGCATCTCCTTGCTGGCGCTCCCTTGGTGGTGGGACTCGGTGAGGACGAATCTGGATTTAAGTGTGACTGAGCTGCCTCTCTCTCTCTCTCTGCTCTCTCTGTCTCTCTCTCTCTCTCTCTCTGCCCTCTCTCTGTCTCTGCCTCTCTTTCCCTCTCTCTCTCTCTGCCTCTCTCTCTCTCTCTCTGCCTCTCTCTCTGCCTCTCTCTCTCTGCCTCTCTCTCTGTGCCTCTCTCTCTCTGCCTCTATCTCTGCCTCTCTCTCTCTCTCTCTCTCTCTCTCTCTCTCTCTCTCTCTCTCTATTCTCTCTCTGCTCTCTCCTCTCTCTCTCACTCTCCCTCTCTCTCTCTCTCGCTCTCTCTCTCTTCTCTTCTCTTCTCTTCTCTTCTCTTCTCTCTCTCTCTCTCTTTCTCTCTCTATCTCTCTCTCTCTCTCTCTCTCTCTCTCTCTCTCTTTCGCTCTCTCGCTCTCTCTTGCTCTCTCTCGCTCTCTGTCGCTCTCTCTCGCTCTCTCTCTCTCTCTCTCTGCTCTCGCTCTCACTCGCTCTCTCTCGCTCTCTCTCGCTCTCCCTCGCTCTCTCCCGCTCTCTCTCTCTCTCTGCTCTCTCTCTCTCTCTCGTCTCTCGCTCTCTCTCTCTCTCTCTATCTCTCTCTTCTCTTCTCTTCGCTTCTCTTCTCTCTCTCTCTCTCTCTCTCTCTCTCTCTCTCTCTCTCCACTTTCTCTCTCTCTCTCTCTCTCTCTCTCTCTCTCTTCTATCTCTATCTCTCTCTCTCTCTCTCTCTTCTTCTCTCTCTCTCTCTCTCTCTTCTCTCTCTCTCTCTTCTTTCTCTCGCCTGTCTCCTCTCTCAACTCCCCCTCTCTCTCTCTCTCCGCTCTCTCTCTCTCTCTCCTCTCCCTCTCTCTCGCTTCCTCTCTCTCTCTCTCTCTCTTGCTCTCTCTCTCTCTCTCTCTCTCTCTCTCTCTCTCTCTCTCTCTTTCTCTCCGGTCACCTCCAGGGCAGCTCGTGGTCCCTGGATGACATCAAGCTGCTCATGTGCGTGTGGACAAAGAGGCAGCACCGATACGTTCCTCGATCACTCAGCACTACCTTCGTTGACGACAGCAACTCCACTACCCACGCCGCTTCTGAGCTGCAGAAATCTCTCGACGAAACCGCCAAGTTTGATCGATTCTCAGGTCAACGCATTCACCCTGGTAAAGTGGCAGGGTGGGCGCTCACCGACGAGCTTCACGCCGCCGTTGCCCAGCTCACACTGGCGGATCGCCCCCTACGTGTGGTCGATTCCTTCAAGCTCGTCGGGAGTTACATCAACGCAGATGCAGCGCCGGCTCCAGCCGCGCTTAACCTCACGGCCACCGCAGACGCCCGTGTACGAAGGGCGACTATCCGCCTGCCGCGCATTGGCAAACTCCCGTCGCCGATGCTTATCAAGGCGCGGCACGCCCGATCCCTGGCTGCCAGCGCCTGCACCACGGGCACCGACATTCAAGCACCATCAGGCCCAGCCAAGACTGCCTACAACCACGCCCTCAAGGCGGCTATCCGCCCCAAGGGGAACAAGTGGGTCGAGTTCTGGACTCTCATGGCCGTGTGCGTGCCGGGACACGCCCTTGAGATCGACGCCATCACGCAGCGTGAAGCATTCCTGTGCCTGCGGCGACAGGTTAACCGCGACGTTACACTCTGCGGGCTCGCCAGAGACCTCCAACACCACGTCCAGACCCTGTTTGGTGGAGGACCCGTCGGACGACTCGTCCAGTCGCTCCAGCAGCTCCGATGGACCTGGCCCACATTTGGCATCATGTACGACGACTGGGGCTGCCCGATCAGCTGGCTGAATTTACCCCAAAACGCCTTCCTGCACATGCTGCGGGCCTCACAACGCAGGGCATTTCTGCGGAGGATCAAGCCACGGCGACACGACCTTGGCTACCTCGCCTCTGTCAGACAGGGCCTTGACCTCTTCGCCAGCACGTGGCTCGCGCGAACTAAAGGAGCAGCCAAATGCACTGCCTGGCAGCTGGCGCTCCTCCTGAACTACCTGTCGGGCGGGGACCACACCCAACAGCGACGATCCCGATCAAACACGTCGGCAGACCCCAGCCCCATGTGCCGCTACTGTGACGAGGAAGAGGAAACTCAGGAGCACACTGTCCGCGACTGTAAGTGCTGGGCCCGAGAAAGACTCCCTCTCACCACCCTCATCAGTGACGACCAGTGGGCCCGTCTTCCGCCGCACACAAGACACTGCGGGCTCTTCGACGAAGACCCAGCCCTCCTCGACCTGCAGGCCGACCTCGCGAGGGACCCGCTGCCACAGCCCATTCCGCGGCCCTCCCCTGAGGGTGATCCTGCGGCTTCAGCCCAGGACACCTACACCACCTACCTTGACTACGACACTGGTTGGACATGGGTCTATGCTGCC